AGAGTAATGGTCTTATAAGACCCTCCCCCACCCATGTGTGTAGGACCCCAAAAGATCACCATTAAAGTTGGCACGCATCTCTAGAAAAGTCATCATATGGATGTAAGAGTTATCATGTGGGTGCGGGACTTGACTTTTCTATAGATCTGTGCCAAATTTAATGGTGATCATTTGAGGTCTTACACACATGGTTAGGAGAGGGTCCTATAGGATTATTTCTCATAATATTATTATGTATATTGTTATAATTTTATATTATACTAATATATTATTTAATGTTATATAATATAGTATAACATAAAGTAATATAGTATTTATATAAGGTGTTAATTATTATATATTATATATCATTAAAATACATTTTATAATTTTAATATACTATTCAATATACAAATAAAATATGATATAATGTATTATATTATAAATTCTATATAGTGAATAGTTGGTCCGCATGTAAAAATAAAAACACGGGAAATGCTTCCCCACCTCAAGAGGTGAGATTTTATTTTACCATGAATTAGATCATTTCATGGTAAAATGTTTTACTATGGGATTTATTTGCATATGTATTACGTACCACACAAACATATGAAACACAATTTTCACAAAAAAATATTTTTAGAAAAATATTTATGTACGAACCAAACATGCCCTAAAAGTGATTTGGACCTCTTTGTACCAAATATAAATACTCTCATAGCATACAATCCCTTAACAATAAGGGCTTTCCCGACCATACTACCTTTCAATCCTTGTAGAATAATATAATCTAGTCAAAACAAATTATACTTGCATACCTTCCATTGATATTTTTCATGAATTTGTTTTATGATGTAGATGTGGTCCGAGAAATTATCAAAATCCGGCCTGATTTTGCCTGGGTTGTAGACAATGAAGGGAATTCACCCCTTCACATTGCTTCAAGCAAAGGGCACGTAGAGATAAGCAGAGAGCTCATAAGGGAGAATCCAGATCTCTGCTTTTTCAAGGACAAATTTGGAAGAAACCCTCTCCATGCTGCAGCTGCTAAAGGGCGTGTTTCAGTGTTAGATGAGATCTTATCAACTAATCTTGACTGTGCTCATAAGCTTACTAATCATGGTGAGAGTATCCTCCACCTTAGTGTGAAGAACAATCAATTCCTGGCTCTCAAGTACTTGGTGGAGAAGCTTGATATCACCGATCTCGTGAACTTGCCTGATATTAATGGCAACAGCATTTTGCATCTCGCTACTGCCGGAAAACTCAATAATGTGAGTGTCTAGCTATGCTATGCACAGATGCTACTAGATGTAGTTATGTTTTATTTCACAATGCCGCAAAAGCGAACACACACACACATGCATACAATTGTCTCTCATGCTGCGAATCAAGACATATTGCCTCCATATATTTTAACAAATGAACTTTTGCTTTGTTCTTGTGAACATTTTTCAAAAGTTTCAGTCCAAAAAAAAAAAAAAATCCAAAAGTTTCTATAAAATTATTTCATCTAATTTGTTTGTCTTATTATTTTTCTTTTAAGCTCATATGTCTTATATTGACTAGCCTAGTCGACTAACTCTTGGTCGCTTGTAATTCTTCTCATCAGTATAATTTATATTTTCTAGGCAAGAGATAAAACAAGTTTTGTTTTTTTCATGTTAAATGGAGAAGTTTATTGTATACATACCAGTAAATAATACATGCTTTGCTATATTTAATGACCTTAAAAACCTGATATATCACAGTACTTTTCTCTTCTTTCCATAACCTACAATGTTTTTTTCTTTTGTAAGGATCTTTTAATTTACTGTTTATTCTGTTCAAGCAGTCTAAATTTCCTTGTACACACATATGCCTACAGATGAAGCATCTATGAAGTCAAATATTGCACATACTAATACATTTGAGACACATAAATCTGAATTGCTCAAGTGTGCGTATTTAAAGGATTTCGACATGCAAAATGGAACCCTAAAGTTCCTTTTCCATGGATTCTTGGTTACAGGCCGTAAAATATATCATCCAGCACACCAGCATCAATCTGAATGCATTGAACAACAAGGGGTTCACCGCCCTGGATGTCGTTGAGCATGATAATAGCAACTCTAGTGCCCTCCAAATCGGAGAAACCCTGCGTAGCGCCGGTGGCAAGACTGGAGAGAACCTACCTCCAACACCCCCAGAAGTCCAGGAGCACCTTGCAGAAGCCATCCACCATGCTGCAGCCAAGCTTCCCTCGGAGGCCCCCAGAACAGCATCCCCATTGGCACGGAGGCATCCGAAGAACCCGCACCATGTAGAGTACCACATCGAGGGACTAAGGAATGCCCGGAACACAATCACTGTGGTGGCAGTGCTAATTGCCACTGTTACATTCACCGCGGGAATTAGCCCCCCTGGAGGAGTCCAACAGGAAGGGACAAAAGGAGCCACCCCTGCCGGAAAAGCCGTGATGGCAAGAACCCTAGCCTTCAAGGTGTTCATGGTGAGCAACCATGTTGCCCTATTCACTTCCTTAGGAATTGTGGTTGTCTTAGTTAGTGTTATACCCTTTAGGCGCAGTGCCCTGAAGAGCCTGCTAGTGCTGACTCACAAGGCCATGTGGGCAGCTGTGTCATTCACGGCCATTGCCTATGTGGCCGCAACGTGGGTCGTGTTGCCACACGATCGGAGCATGAGATGGCTTTATGTGGTCATCGTTGTGTTGGGAGGTGGGGGCATGGCCTCAGTGTTTATAGGCTTATCCATGTTGTTAGTGATGCAATGGTTCAACATAAAGGAATGGAAGAAGGAAAACAGGGAAATGAGAGAATTGGGTGGGTCCCAAGGGACCCATAATAGCCATATGGCCGATGACTGGAGCCCATTCCCTAGGGTCAAGGGTAGCCCTTCCTTGAGTGCAGATCTTGGGAGCACAGAGCACTCAGGTTACCTTTTGTACTAGCTCTTCATCAAAACAGCAATTAGTTACTTAGCTAAAAGCATAGTAATAGATAATCTTATGTTAGGATTGTTTATAATTTTTTTTTTTTTTTTTGTTGTATTCCCTCTCATTTTATATGGCCATATGGATTCAATTTGTTTAGTAAAAATCTGTAATTTCAATTTTTGTCTTGAAATTGGTTATCTGACTTGGGGCAAAAAAAAAACAAAGGAAAAATTCTCCATTGGGAACCAACTAAAGATTATAATGAAGTTTACTAATAGATATTAGGGAAATTAATGAAAACCCTGCTCTATATATTCATTGGCTAAGTAAACCTTTGGGTCCACTAAAACCCCATGGAGCCCTTCTCATAGTAATTTATAGTAGACCAACTACCCTCAGCTAAAGGTTAGGCGGTCAAAGTAGTGGGAAGACACAATGTGATGTCTTGATTTTATTCTTAAGTCCGGTATTCATTCGTTATTAAAACTACTAAAGAAAACAAAAAAATATATATATATCTTCCAATCTTTGTTTCTTGTTTTCTTCTTTTTTTTCTTTTTTCTTTTGGTATGTGAAAGGTATGATTTTAACCTTTCATCCATAAAACCAAATTTGGTCTAAATTAAACATAACTGATATTTATCCCATTTCCTCTCTCTTCACTTTTCCACTTTCTACCAACTACACCTCTCTCTCTCTCTCTCTCATTAAACCATTATAGATACATTTGAATATGTGTATGTATTTTGATAGGGCCAAATCATCACGGATACTTTTGAATCTATGCATGTATTCTATTAGGGTCGAATTCCTGTTTTTTGCAAAGTTGGAGTTGCCAAGTAAGTTGAAAAAACTCTGTAGCTTGAGAATAACCTGCATAGGAATTCTTTAGGCATTTTTAAGCTTTCGCAAAAATCTTAATGCTAACAAAAAGGTTGAGACACTCTTCTAACAGTGTCCCTATGATTCAGTCTTTGACAAGCCGATCTGATTTTAGACATATACGTAGGCTGGGTTTTCGATTTCACAATAAGGGGTGGTCATTGGTCCGGTCGGGTCCAGACCCATTCGGGTCGACCTAACCCCATTTTCACCCTAACCACATGACCATATGGCACAGAGGAAGGAAACAAACCAAAAGATTTAAAAACACCCTAGAGCATAAATTCCAAAATTATCTGTTTTAAACTCACATAAATACCGGAATTCTGACTGGTAAATAATGAATAAAGTTGAACTCTTTGACAATTTTGGCTGGTAAATAATAAATAAAGTGGAAGTCTTTGACTCAGCCAAGTTTGTAAGACTCAATTGAGTCTGGATAGACAACTCAGACTCTAGACTCTGCCGAGTCCCAAGTCTGAGCCATGTCTTCAAACCTTAACTCTAAGAATTTCATCTAGACTCTATCCTCATGTGGGAATTGCAGAAATTTAGGAATTGATTCACGTTTAGTGAAAAAAAAAATAGTCTTAGCTCAAGTAGATGACTAATTACTAGAAATTAAAGAAGACTTGAGCATAAGCTGAAGACATACAAGTCATTTGGGCACTTGGTTTTAATCCTAAGATTCCTCATCCTAGAGAATTCTTGGTCTCTATCTAGCATTAGATGTACTAAAATGAACTAAGTTTTATGTGCCTATCAGCAACTTAATATTTTTTATGTTAAAAAATAGGAACTTTTAATAATTTTCCTTTTCAGTAATGTGTTTTATTTGGTATAATGATGGTCCATGGTTGTTAGCCTAATTGGGAACATGGATTGGGAATGTGAGTCCAAAGTCTTGTTAATGCAACTATAGTTATTGATTGAATCCCATAACAAAGGTTTCCTCATTAGTAGAAGAGAAACTAATATCCCATGGACTCAATTTTGAGACCTTATTATCTTAGAAGTCTTTGCATGAAAAATGCCATCAACTGTGTTTTCTATCAACCCTAATTGACTCTAGGACAGCCTTAGTCATACCAAAATTAACAAGAAGATTGATGTACAAGTATTTTGGGCTATATAAATTGTAGGTAAATACTACAAAAAGTTAGAACCTTGTAAATTTGAGATAGATCAGAGGCCCCTCCTTGTCTAAGCCTTTTATCGCTATAATCTTGTCTGAGAGCGAAAATTGGAGCTTGTTTTATGAAGTGTTTATGGTGGAAATGAAGTCTAGGACATTGTGTTGAGGCATGTACCCCCTAACCACTGATGCCTCGACCCCATTCCCGAGAATATGAGCTCTTGAGATCTAGTTTTTGTGGTATATTTTTTCTGTCCTGGTTGACAGATCCTTGTAAGCGCTCGTAATTAACTATTTAAGCTTGCATCCATGGGAAATCTATGATCATAAGTGTGGCCACCCTATTCATAGGATGTAGAGAGTAAGACCCGCCAGATATCACCCAAGCAGGAGGTGACATTCTTTGTTTCTTTCCCTTCCATCCCTTACTATTCAAGGCAAAACTTTCTTATGGGTATATGGATCATACCAGTGTTTCAAAAAATAGCGAGCTAACATGAATAGGTGGGTAACCGATCTACGTCTGAGACCTCCAATTTACTCTGTTCCCATCAATTTTTTATTTTTATATTTTTTACTAAAAAATAACTGAAATTAACATAAAAAAATTAAAAATAGTTCCCTATATTTTATGTCTTACACTTACGTCCCATTTTTTTTATAGCAACTATTATAAAGGATTGTATACAATGCGACCATTTAGCTTTGGTATAGGGAGGTCACAGTTACTTGTAACCATTTGATATGAAATTTGATAGCTTAGGTATGTCACAATGTTCGAGAAAATCTCTTTTTAACTTTGAGCTTGGTCAATGAACTACATACAACCATCCAATTTTACATCCAATGGTCAATATTAGTTGTGACTACCTTGCACCAAAGGTAAATATTATTATTATATACTTTTTCCTATTATAATTTAAATATATTATTTTTCTTTTATATATCCGATTAAGCTCGAATTTTAGACATCCATACTTTTCTCCATAATGAGTTTGTAAAAATATTAAAAATATATTTAATTTAGATAAAGATGATCAAAATCTCTAAAATCCAAAAACAATTAGGGATATCATTTTATTTAGGGAAAATTTTGTACGGAACCCTAATTCTCCATTTTATTTCATGGTAGACCCTCTTTCCATTTTCTTTTCAAGCGGCATAAAAAAATTCTTTAAAGGTTCCACCATACCCCCTCATCTCTTATCTCCCTTATTTATTCACTTTTGACCATAAAAATTAGCTCCAATCAACATTTTTATAACATTTCAACCCAATATGAGAGAGAGATAGGGAGCCCTCAACGTGGTATTGAGGGGCTGAAAAGGCAGAAAAAATATAATAAAAAAATATTTTTGAAATGTTTTTGGGTTAAAAGATATAATGGGGTGGGTTAAAAAAGTTTTTGAAATATTTTGAAATGTTTTTGGGTTGAAATGGTATAAAAAGATTTTTTGGGGCTAATATTTATGATCAATAATAAATAAATGAGAGAGATAAGAGATAAGGAGGTACAGTGAAATCCTTATGGATTTTTTTATGCCCCTTGAAAGAAAAATAAAAGGAGGGTCTATCATGAAATATGATGGGCAATTAGGGTTCTGAACGAATTTTTCTTTTTTATTTATTGAAAATTGAATTTTTTTACAAATGTAAGAGATGAAAAGTATGACCTCCTTGATCCAATGTATAGAAAAAATAATAATTAATAAAATACGTACTCTCAAAAAGTAGGACTCGAGTATAAAATATAAAATAGAATTGTCTACAAAAGAGATCATTTATCTTTATTACAAGGAGGTCAAAAATATTCCTACTTATTAGATGTTAAATTGGATGGTTTAAGATGAATCACAAAGTTCAAAAAAACATAATTAGAACTTTGTTTCTATTCAATGGCACTTTTACAACAACTCATTTTAAAAATTTAAAGAAAAAGAATAACTGTGACATTTTATATAAAAGATAAATGATCTCTTTACCGATAATCCCATATAAAATATGTAAAACTATTTCTTGATTTTCACAATCCCATAAAAGGTTTCTAGAAATTTCTCTCGAAATAAGCCCCAAAGAACTTACAAAATCAGGTAGGGCAAGTTCCAAGCGTGCTCAGATTTGGCTCTGGCTAAGACCGTAACCGGTTTGACGAGACCGTATGGCATGCCTATGGAAAGAAAGAGCACCACGCTCGCTCCATGACAGCCTTTAATTTTAGATAATCTGCCACGTGTTCTGATCTGAATGGCTTAGCCACTTTCACTTTATTCATGAGGCGAGAAATATTTGTAGCTTCAATCAAGTTCATATGTAATGGTCCCACGCGCCGTCCCTCACTACTAAATTCACTATTTTTTTTTTTTTTTTTTTTCTTTTTTTTTTTTCTTTTTATATATATATATATATATATATATATATATTTAAGTAGTAGAGCCGTAAGAATCAAACTCGAGATATAGTATTGTTAAACGTAAGCTGCTAACCGTTCAAGCCCCAGCCTGATTCCTTTATATTTTAATTGTTATTATGTTGATTGCACTAGAAAATCCTCTATATCAATTTTTTAAGTACCATTTGCAATATCAAATAGTAACCATCCAATAACATAAAATAGTATATATATATATATATATATATTCACCATCATTATTGACTTTTAGATTTGAAATTTAGTGGTTGAGAAACCATAAAATCTAAAATAAATTTTTTTGAATATTTTAGCATTTTTTAATCTATTAGATTTTGCATCCAATGGCTAAAAAAACATTATGACCTCCTTATATAAAAACAAATGGTCTCATAGCATACAACCCGATATATATATATAGAGAGAGAGAGAGAAAGAACCAAAAGACCCAGTGCCGATCAAGATGTGATATGAATGATAGAGAGCAGAGTTAGGAAAAGTTGTAAGAGAAACATTTGGTAAATATTATGGATAATGATAGAAAAAATTTTATTACTTGCTTTATTTATGTGTAATGCAATATTAATTATTAATATGGAATTTCCCTTTCAAATCTAATATTATTATTTTCTTATGAATTTTATGTTCGAGAAATTATCTGTTACATATGTAGGAGCCAATGTGGTCGATGGGATTTGTATCTAACTTGAAAGGATCTATAGTGGGAGGTACTAGTATAATACAGTGGCAAAACATATATTGTGGTTTAAAACAAAATAATAATAATCTGTGTTTTTTAAATAGCAATACAACAAGCCATGATAAAACGGATATAACAGTGTTTGAATTTTTATTCATTAATACATTAAAAAAGAATTGAGTGTAATGGCATTTCAAATGACAACATAGTTCACATCGAATTTCAAAAAGGGATATATTATTTGTTTATACATAAGAAGAGCTATAAACTTCAATTTTTGTTCATATTTGACTATATCTGTCGATGACGACTCCACTGCCACTAGTCCACAAAGTATATGGTATAAAGGGAAACCATCTCTTTAAATTGACCGCTCCATCCCATTTCGTAACATTTCTCTCAAATGAATAGTATATAACAAAATTATTTATTTTTTGTGTAAAGAAGTCGCAACACCCAAAACATTGAATGTGAAATCAGGAAACTATAAACGTGTCATTGACAAAGTTGAACGCGCAAAAGAAAATTTTCAAGCTTTATGATAAACTTTGAACTTTGATGCTATGAACACCCATATAAGAATGAAGAAACCTTCCAACTTATTTTGTGAACTATGGTGAATGCTGTTCTTCAAGTAAGAGAGTTTTATATTATATGAATTTTGAATTTTTTCTCTCTCTCCTTCTCTCCCAGAACCAAAAGAAATGATGTTAAAACCGACCAGACCAGCTAATTTGAACCAAAAACCAGGGACTGAGTGGCCCGTCTCGTCCAATTAACCTCTTCGACTGATAATACATTTGGACTGTACAGCCCAAACGGACCCGCCCTCGCCTATTTGGCTACTGATCCGGTCTTTGACAACATTGATAAAAATGTTTGGCTACTGATATGGTCTTAATAACATTGATAAAGAGTAAGTAGCAAGGTCTATGGATCCAAAGAGGGGACACTGTGTGGAGGCTCAAACAAGACAGAGGTTGTGAACATCTCATGAGGAGATGAGAGGTACAAAGGAAAAGAAATGGCATTATTCCAAGACAATGCACAGTCACAAGACCTTAAAAAAATACACCCCAAACCCCAATTACCCCAAGAAAACAATACATTACAAACCCCTAAACCTTAGTAGTCATCACCAAGAGGAGCATGGGTAGGAGCACACATGTAAAGATTAGGGTACACAAGACCAGCTAAAGCACCACCAATGAGAGGACCAACCCAGTAGATCCAATTATCAGTGAAGTCACCACTAGCCACGGCTGGGCCAAAGGACCTAGCTGGGTTCATGGACCCACCCGAGAAGGGACCGGCGGCTAAGATATTGGCACCCACTATGAACCCAATGCCTATGGGTGCAATGGTCCCTAGGGAGCCCTTCTTGGGGTCAGCAGCTGTGGCGTAGACTGTGTAGACAAGGGCAAAAGTGATAACAATCTCCATGACTACGGCCTCAACTGCGCCCACTCCGGAGGCCACACTGTGGATCGGGATAGCCTGCAATGAAACATCAACGGTCAGGATTGGTTGCGGATCAAAATTCAGTGTATTATGTATTATTTATATAAATTGAGCAAATTCCTAGAAAATTTTGGTAACAGTTTATAATACCTTTAGAAAACGACAATATTTATTTGAAGGGATATAAAAATAAAGCGCGTCTAAAATAGGTGTCAAAAATTCGAGGAGCCGACTATGTATAGCCTAAGCTGATTCAGACCTACGAGTTTCCAATTCTCGATAGTCTCGACTCTTGACCGAGGGAATCGCCTGGGTTGTGGGTTGTCTAGAATTACACAGTCGATGAAACAACCCAAATATTCACTCCTGGGTTTCAAGTGATTTTTTTTTTCCCCTTTTAGGATCTTATTTCAATTATGTAGGAATCTACTACATGAATCTTGTTCCTCCATTCTTCTATATCAAAGGTAACCAAAAGTTTCATACCTTTTTTTACTACTTCTATCCATGACTATATTATGTATATGCTACTACTTCTATCCATGACTATATTATGTATATGCTCCACGCTTGATAAATTACAGTTTAAAACAAAGTCTTTTACTACTTCTATCCATGACTATATTATGTATATGCTCCACGCTTGATAAATTACAGTTTAAAACAAAGTCTTTACCTCAATCAAGCCAAAGACATTATGAGAGAGGATATAAGATCTTAACATATGCTTAAATCTAAATACAAGATAATCAAATTTCAAAAGCATAGTGAAGTGACTTAATGAACAAGGCTTCAAAATAATTAACAACAAAAAAAAAGTAAGAAATATAAGAAAAGCAAAACAAATAGAGGAAGCTGGGGGGTTGGTTTGGTCCTTTTGCCTTATCGAAAAGGAGTAACTAAGGGATGAAAAGAGAAGAAAATTCATTTTCTACCCTTATCAAAGGCACAATCATGTCCCCCATCGCCACCGTTCTCGACATGAAGAAGAAGATAAAAAAATAAAAAATAAAAAGCATAAGAAAATGAATAATGGAGAAAGGAAAACAAAGTGATTTATGATCCTAAAAAAAATTTTAAAATATAAAATGCTCTATTTATAGGTGGAACTTACAAAAAGTTAATCAACCCACTTTTTTTTTTTTTTTTTTGTCTAAAATTGTCATTCAGCCCGAATATTCCTTCCCCATATCGGGTTTTATTTTTTTATTTTTTTTTAGTTTTTTCATCAATAGAGAAACTAATATTAAAATTAAAACTAACGAAAAAACTAAAACAATAAATAAAATTTGATCCTCGGACCGAGAAACAATTTTGAAAAAAAAATATAAGTCAACCGACCTTCCTATAAACATAATATTTTGTATTTAAAAAAAAATAAGGTCCATATGTAAAATCACTGTACTTGTTCTATACTAAAAAAAAATGGACTCAAGGCATTAGTGGTTAGGGAAGTTGGTGCAACAATACGACGTACTGTTTTCCAACTTATATACCCCAAAACAAAAATATTTACTTTCTTTATATAAAAAAAAAAGTTTATATAACCAGTAATTTTAGCAAAGAAAGTACATACAATATTCATATGTTAGCACGACACGGATACAAGTTTCGAGATGTCTGATATCAAAACCGGTCATCTATATACTGCTCAAAGATAGGGGAGAGCTGGGATTTTAAGGGATGCTCAAAAATATATTTTTGAATAATGCCCATTATGCAGTCGGGTAGCAAACTCTTACCAAGCCACCTGTGACGAACTTGAGCAAAAAGGAAGCAACAATGGCACCAACGAGTTGGGCAATCCAGTAAACGATGCCAGTCAAAATGGTGATTTGGCCGCCGATGGCCAATCCAAAGGTGACAGCGGGATTGACATGGCCACCGGAGATGTTTGCACCCACTGCAACAGCAACGAAGAGTGCGAAGCCATGGCACAGGGCCACGGCCACCAGCCCCGCTGGATCTAGGGCCGCGCTAGAGGTCAGCTTGTCTGCAAAAATTGTATGAGAGAGAGAGAGAGAGAAAGATAGATCAGGATATACTCAGTCTCTCTCTCTTACCAAAAATTTGGAGAAAATGAAAAAGAAGAGAAGGAAAACAAACTGTAGGCAATGGCTGAGCCAACGCCGGCGAAGACAAAGAGCAAAGTGGAGATGAACTCCGCCAGGTAAGCCTTAAGAGACCCCAAGCTGAAGCTGTCATCGAACCTCCCAAATGCAATTGCCATCTCTCTTTCTCTCTCTACACAAACTTTCTCTCTCTTCTCTCTAGAGTCTACAAAACACTGGTGGCTGAGCCCGGGCTTGGTAAATAAGGATGGCGTATATATAGCATGAAATCGATCAATTTTTTTATGAATTTGGTAAGGATAAATAAATAGAGCATGGAAATCGACATAAAAAATTAATTAAATTTTTTTTTTGTTAGAGAAATGAATGAAGTGTACAGCTTCTCCAGTCCTCATCCAATCAAACACATTCTGGATTTGCATAGCTGGCTTCGTGTAAATAAATGATGCTCTCCATGTGACCGACCGCTAGCTTCTGTCAACAAGGTCTTGGGGGCAGTCCCATTGGCTGAGTGACGTAATAATGAGAGTGAGACAGGGGGTGACAACTCGCCAGGCCTTGTAAGGCCCGGTTCTACCCGGCTTGGTCTGGGTCTCCTGGGCCTCTGTCCTGGTCTGGCCCTGGCTAGGCCCGGCTGTGCCGAGCAAACAACAAAAAATGAAAACAGAGTACCAGCTTTTGCCAAAGTGGGCTGACACTGGCCCTAGCCAGTCCCCAGGCACGATTTATAGCCCGAGCCGTACATTAGTGAAAATTATAAAAAAAAAAACAGAAAAAACAAAACGTCGAAAGGGCATGTACTTACCAAAAAATGTCGTACGGACATTAAAAAAAAAAGGAAATACAAAATGGGCCAATTTTAAGTGAAAATTGCACATAAAGTTGATCGACTTTTGTTTTTTTATTTTTTTATTTCTTTTCAAAACTGCCTCTCCCGCTTTTGGATTCTTTTTTTAAGATTTTTCGTAAGTAAGGAAGTGCCCTCGTTTGATGGGCAATGCCCATTCCAGAAGGCAATCCGAGGCTGGCATTTTCGGACAACCTTATCTATTAATAAATAAATGAGCTCATGCAGTTTGAGGATGCCAAACTCGGACTGCCCTGATGAGCACCACATAAGGCGATTCGAGTATGGGCAGCTCGAACTACCTTAATGCTTAACAAAATCGGTCTTTACAATCTCGAGTTGCGAGCCTCAAGCTACTTTAAAAGCACCAAAAAAGCACTGCCCCAGACATTAGGTTACAGCCCTACTATAAAAAAAATTCAAATAAATAAATGTGGTCTAAGATGATATTCTCATATTGAGAAGCAATTTTGAAAATAATAGAAAAACTCAAGTTGACCAACTTTTTACGTAATTTTAACACAAAATTTACTCATTTTATATTTTTAGTATTTTTTTGTGTCCTTACGTATGTGTCATCGATCCTAGAGAAAGAGGATTTCATCATCCCTCATCTATTTATTTTTTTTATCTTAAAGAAAGAATATGCTATCATCCCTCATCTCTTTTGTAAGAGGGAGAGAGGTATCATGAATTCTAGAGAAAGAGTCTTTCTTTGGAGAGAAGTGGCATCAATCCTAGAGAGAGCATATCATCATCCCTCATGAGAGAGAGAGAGAGAGAGAGAGAGAGAGAGGGAGAGGGAGAGTTATCATTCATGCATCTTAGAGAGAAGTGTCATCCATCTTAGAGTTTAGAAAGTTGTGATCCATCTAAGAGAGCATGATACCATCCCTTTCCTTTTTCTCTAAAGACAGAGAGCTATCATCCTCCTTAGGGAGAGAGCGTGCTAAGTTAAGCTTGTCAAAAAGAGATGCCATCGACTCCTCACTCATCATAGAGAGGACAAGTGTTAGAAAGTCGACTTGGACCCAGTAATCGGTCCTGGCCCCAACCCATTACTTGCATAGAGGCCGAGTAATTCCACCGATTAGTGTTCAGTACTGTAGCAGCAAAAAAAAGGTTAAAAAAATATAAAAAAAAATCGAAAAAAACAAAAATTAAGGTTAAGCAAATCACTTCAAAATAATATAAAAAATTAGTAACAAAAATAAATTTTAAAAATCAACTTGTTTTTTAGGGTATTTTTTAATCGGGCGGAGTCCGGGTAATTCGACCGATTAGTGCCAAGTACTGTAGTAGTAAAAAACGGTTTAAAATATTACAAAAACTATAAAAATATCTTAAAAAAAAAAAAGTGAAATGTACATTTAAATTTAGATTAAGCAAATCACTTCAAAATAATATAAAAAATGTAGTAAAAATAAATTTTTAAAAATAAACTTGTATTGGGGGTATTTTTGGAATAATCTAAAAATGATGGGAAAATGAAAAAATAAATATTTATGGCCAAATCGCTTCCCAATATTTTTCAAAATGATAGAAAACATAAAAAAACAAAACAATTGTTTTATACAGGCCGGACCGCATTTCTACATATACGGTCCATAAAGTGTAAAGCATTCATGCAAGTAGGTGTTCCATCTAAAAACAATATAAACTAACGGTTCAAATGTTTTCTTACTAGAGTTATTATTTTTAATTTTTAAAATTTATTTATTTATTCATCTCCATGTTAGAGCTTACATGTCTTTAAAAATTAAGTCTTAAAATCCATCTCAAAAATAAATTTGGCTACATAGAAACCAGATCCAAATATATATATTTCAAATAAATATTTTATTTAAAAAAAAAATTAAAATATTTTTTGATAGGTGCCATTTCTATAAGGTTACAACCTTAAACAATCCAATTAAGCGCACCTTAAAATATTATCATAACATGCAAATTTGTTGTAAAAAATTCTTAATATTATCTTAAAATCTATTTTCATACCTAATTAGAAAATTTTAAAATCCAAAAATAGTTAAAATCAAGTAGATCTATAAATATATAAAAATCTTGAAAATGGACAGTCTAGATAATGTGTCACAAGATGTACTATTTTCAGGACTCAAAAATCTTTTTTTTTTCATATTCATACATGTCGAGGTCGAGATGATCGATTAGAGGGTTTTTTCAACGTTAAAACAACATTTTCAATTGATTTTTGAAGTTGTATATGTGATTCTACATTTTAACTTTACAACTTTATTAAAAATTTTCCCTTTTTTTTATATCTCCAAATTAGAAGCACAACTTAAGACCACTTAAGCTCGGCAAGGACGTGAGCCCGAGTAGAGACTACTCGACAATTTTATTTGCACCGTAGAGATCACAAATCATCATCTCTCTTTCTTTAGAGAGAGAGAGAGATGTCATCATCCATCATCCTCTTTCTTTTCTCACAGAGGAGAGAGAAAGAGTTCTTTGAAACCACCCTATTTCCTTGGACAGAGACAAGGGGTAGAGAGCGTGACACCACTCTTCTTACTTTTAGAGAGAGAGGGGGCATCATCTCTTTTTGTAGAGAGAGAAAGAGAGAGGGCAACATCATGCCGTCCATCTCTTTTTGTAGAGAGAAAAAGATAAGGGACAATAAGTCATGCTATCCATCAACTTCTTTTCGCCCACTTTATTGCACCGACCATCTATTTATTTTTGTCTCTATTTTTTCATTCCAATGAGAAGTTTAAGGAAACCTGAATATATAACGGCAACAAAATGCCACATATTTCGTCTCAAATTATATTTAAAATATTAAATAATTATAAGTCTGAGTTTTCCTCTAGACTTCTAAATATTATTTTAAATGGGAATCATCTCCACGATGTTAGAACTTGAGTGTTATATTATATTGATTACCAGAAAATGAATGACCAAGTTGCCTGTTTTGATAATGAGATTTCAAAATAAAGAGATCAGGCTCAAGATTTTATGCTTTCCGGGTAGTACAGTGTTTATTTACTTTCTCGGATAAAATTTCATATAGCAGTAATTTTATAAGGACCTGGTTTCTATGCGGCCAAACCCGCATGTGTGGAAATGCTTGATAAATCTATTTTTTAGATGGATTGTAAGACTTAATTTTTAAGGAAATGTAATCTCTAACATAGAGATCATGAATATGATAAAATAAATAATTTTAAAAAACTAAAAGTAATAATTCTAGTAAGAAAATATTTGGACAGTTAGTTTCCAACGTTTTTTTAGATGAAACACCTACTTTCATCTATCTTTACGATGAATACTTTACATTTTCTGGACCGCATATGTAGAAATGCAGTCCAGCCCATATGAAACAATTTTGCATTTTATAATCTCAAATATAACATCATGAATATGTCAAAAAAGTAATATGGACTTCCAAGTTGCACTTTCTATGAACTAGAAAAAGTAATATCTCAAGGCTGGAATTAGACTGCCTAATTTTATGCAGGTTGTTTTCAGTTATATTTTTATTTTTGAGGGTGAAATCTAAGCGTTAAAAAACTCAAAATTTAAATTTTCTCGTTTGAAAATAATCATGTAGTGATTTTTAAGTAGTTTTCAAATTTTAGATTCAAAAAATCCTCCCAAGTAGGTTTCCTAGGCAGGTTCTCCATAACATTGGAAAACTTCAAAAATAAATAAAGGAGGAGAAAAAAAAAAATAAACGACCATGCTATGTTATGGGCAAATAACCCTTCAAGATTGAAGCTATCCAATAATTGGTAGGCAATATCTAAGTATTGAAGAACTCAAATATATCTTTAGATGGATATCAACATCTATGATCCAAAAAATTCTCCAATTGACCAAGAGAGTTATTACACAGTATGCTGCCAATGGAAGATGCAATACGAACCCCTATCCCATCCTGTAAATGTGTCCATATGCCCTCTTCTATAGAGCAATCAATATCCCAATAAGAATGTGCTCTTTTTATTGTATTTTTCTCTTTTTCCTAAATCTTATAATTGATTATATTCGTTGAAGTTCACCATTATTACTCTCCTAACCTTATCCCACCTATTTAATAGTGAGATTAATTACATAAATAAACCACATATAAAACTTCAATGACAAACCAAACAACAATACGTGAGGTCAATGAAATTTGGGTCGAATAGGGTGTTTGGGTCATTTGAAACATGGTTTAGGGTATTTAAATTGAACATGTAAATCCGATCCTTTTCGTCTGGGGCTGAAGAAGACCCTACAAAAAGTTGGGACAAAACTTTTGGCCGGTGTCATATGCAAGGAATCTCTTGGATCACGGTTGGTGGGAAAGAAGAAACCCACTCTTTAACTTTCATGAATGATAAAAAATTCCATTTCCTCTCCATCATATTCATTTTTTAGAATTTGACTTCTTTTATCTTATAATTAAA